CTAAAACCTGGCGAAACTATTAATACTGAACGCTACCGACAACAAATGATCAATTTGAATCAAGCTTTGCGTGAAAAACGACCGGAATATCAAAAAAGGCAACACAAAGTGATTTTACTTCATGATAATCCACCATCACACATAGCAAAACTGGTCAAGGAAACGATTGAGGCGTTTGGTTGGGAAATACTTTCGCATGTGGCTTACTCACCAGACTTTGCTCCGTCCGATTACTACTTATTTGTATCGATGAGACACGCACTTGCTCAGTAGCGCTTTACTTCTTACGAAGATGTACGAAAATGGCTAGATAACTAGTTTGGCTTAAAAGAGCAACAATTTTTTTGGCGTGGCATCCACAAATTGTCAGACAGGTGGGAAAAATGTATAGCTAGCGATGGGCAATACTTCGAGTAAAATATTTTTTATCATTTTCATGCATTAAACATGTATTTTCTATTAAAAAATTCCGGTTTCATATTTACATACCTGGTATGTATATGAGATTTAATATATAGCATTTAACATCCAGCTTGACCCTTTCTTGTTTATTTATTAATTTATTTGAATCGAGGAGCCTTGTTATATTTTTAAATATTGTTATAAAATTGTTACCTCGATCCTCAAGCTAATAAATAACTGTAACTAAATTATATTTTTTTCTGTAATAACTTCTTTTTTCCATAATTTTTTTCTATATTTGGTATTATCACAAGCCATATTTTTACTTAAAATACCGAAAAACATTGCACTAATAGAATATAGAAAAAATACAAACTTTATACATAAAAGAAAAATTAATGTTATTCAAACATGGATTAAAAAATTTATTTTTTGTAGTTAGGGTAATGAACATAATATATAGGTAATGAATATAATATAGTATGTAGTAGTAGTGTGTGTGTGCGCGCGCGCGCGCGCGCGTGTGTGTGTGTGTCCTATAATATATTATAGTATGTAGTAATGTTATGCAATGTAGGAGGTAATGTTATGTAATATAAAAAGTTATGCAAATAAAGATTATATTATGCAAATAAAATGTTGTCTTATATATAATATTATGCACTATTTTTATTAAGTATATTTCAGGTATTATATTCATATTTATTATATTGTATTAATGAGAATGCAAATACTAAATAAAATCATACAATGAAAATACTATTTTATGAATAATATTTATTGTAATGTTTTAGTTATTTCTTTGAATATAATAAATTTAAATACCATTTTTGAAAAATATTTTAAGTTTATTCCAATGTACAAGTTTTGTAATCTGTAAATAGATCACAAAACTCTTAATAAATATATTTAAGTACTTCAGATCACTGAGAGGATTACGGTCAATATTTCCAAACGGTTTCAACGATTTTCATAACTTTTTGGTAATATTTCAAGAAGATTGCAGATTCTTTCTGTAATATATTAGTAACCTTTCAACAAGATTTCATGTGCAACAATCGCAGACATTTTACTATTCCAGAGCTCTCAGAAATGTTGCAGACACATTTCGCAACTTTTATGGAATGTTTCACTTTTCAATTGAAATATTTCTGAAAACTTTCGGTGCTGTATGAGTATTGAGATCCCATAATCGTGGTCTGGAAAATCTCGACGGTTCGCGTAAAGATATATACGGCCGGTCTCGCGCTGACACGTCGCTGGATGTGTATTAGCGCGAAATACTATTGTATCCCCTGATTTCTTTAAAAAAAGATCCTCTTGTATCTCCTGATTTCTTTAAAAAAAGATCCTCTTGTTTTTTTATTTCAATTAAATGAAAAATATCATACTGCATGCGATTCAATTAAAGTACCATTGGTTAAAGAGATTTACAATTTACAAAATATTTATATCAGTATATTTTAATTAAATTTAGTTTGTATATATATTTACTAGTAATAATAAATGTTTATTTTTGATCTTTACTTTCTTTCAAATTTTAATAAATACAATAGTAAGTACTGATGGTAATTACTGAATTTATGTTTTCACTGTAATATATACACAATACAATACAAATTTTTGTTATTTATTTTTGTTTAAAAATGTACGATCGCGATTACTTGCAGGATAGATGAGGAGGGTACACTATTGTTTTACATTGATAATACCAACTTAATATATGAAAATCTTTTAATAATAAGAAAGGCTAATGTATGATTTATTAAAATTAAATGATAACATTGATTACTAATTTTTAATTATGAATCATAATATTAATATTCTATTATTAGAAAATGCAAGTAATTTAATGTGTTATGCTCAATTATTATCGATAACTTGGCAATGTTGCATTCTGAAAATGAGGTTGGCATTTCTCTCTACTCGAGTTGCACACTAGTAATTGACTAGTGCCACTAATAATTGGCTGGCACGCACGCACGCACGCACGCACGCACGCACGCACGCACGCACGCAGCACGCACGCACGATTGAAACATTTTGATTTTTCGACCTCCTTAAGGCTCAATTCCACAACTCACAGTTAACTCTTAACTGAGGTTCAACTTTCTTCTCCTCTCTTTCCAATTCTAGAATTGGAAAGAGACAATGAATAAGTTGAACCTCGGTTAGGAGTTAATCATGAGTTGTGGAACTGAGGCTAGAAGGATGCTGGAGTGACCGCCGAACTTGATCGAGTCGGTAGTACAGATTTTTTAAATTCCAAATCAAAAAAGTCAATAATAGTGACATCTTTAGTTCATTTCTTACATTATCGTTCTATCTCACTCCAACGCATACATCTGTCCTTATCTAACATATTGCAACGCCATCTCTTGCAAGATCGAACACATACTACTGCTAGATACAATTATGCAATTATTATTGTTTTGTTTACCATTCCGAATCTTCACTCAACATTTGTATACACGTTATTTGCAAATCGATTTAAATATTTTTTTTAAGCTTTTAATCGTTTCATAAACTTAGTATTGTTTGTGCACGTAAAGCGTTGGGTGTTAAACTATCGTTTTGTCCACCTCAACGTTTAAGAGCCGTTCCGTTACAAAATACTTCAACCAGTTTGAGTGATTCAAAATATAAGTATTCGTTTCGTAAATCAAAAGACTCAAGTTCGAATTTCGTCAGGGATAGTTTCTTTTTTTTAAATGAATTATCTTGTTTATTTTGCGCTCTTTTGCAAAAAAAAACGTTTCTTTGCAATAAATAGAGCATTTCGAGACTCCGTTTCGGAAACGCACGTACCGTTAATAGTTTTTGTGTGCGAAAATTTTTTAACCATTTAAAAATGCTTTAATATTGTTTTTGTAGAAAGTATTATCATATCGATATTCTAGAGTTGTTTGAAAGATGTAACGAATAAACAAAACACATATTTTAAGGAAAAAGAAAAGTTGACGAATCTCAAATGAAAAGGACCCCGCACAAAATCATAGGATTTTGGTCCTCGGTGAAATTGGCTGAAATTTTGGTATGTTATAGTTCTTGACTCACTGATCAAAAGTGTTCATAGATACAAAGCTTGAAAATGACTAGTTTTTTTGTTATAGCCGTTTAAAGTTTTATTTTCTTAATGCCCCAAAAGCAAGCTTCTGTAATAAATCAAGAGATTTTAGATAACAATATGCCATCCACTCTCACCACCCTCACTCCCACCAATCCCACCCCCACCCCCACTCCATCTCCACCCCTATTCCCATACACATACGCCCGCGCGCGCATTTTTACTATGTACTTAGATTTTGCTAGATTTTTACGATTTCTCTCACGCGTATCATCTGAAATATGTGAGTCCATTTACCTTTCATATGTGAAGTGCTTGATTATCACGATCCGAATGTTTATTGCGGCATGTGAAGCTCCATGTACAAAAAAATATCGGGTGCTCTCTAAAGTGCGATAGTAACATAGGATAGAAAATTCTTTTCCTCTTCGCTTTGTTTACATTCATATGCAGCAAGGGGACTCACGACAATCAAGTAACTCAAAGGAATGAAACGCCTGTCACGTCCACGTCGTTCATTCCGAATAATTCTGAGAACGGACGAAAAACTAAAATCATAAATGTACCATTGATGCATACACGCACACACATACAAAACTTCGATTTTTATGCACCTTTTTCATATAAAAATGCGCGCGCGGGCGTATGTGTGTGGGAATGGGGATGGGGGTGGAGAGTGGAGATGGGATTGGGAGTGAAGGAGGTGAGAGTGGTTGGCATATTGTTATTTAAAATCTCTTGATTTATTATAGAAACCTGATTTTGAGGCATTAGTAAAATAAAACTTCAAATGGCTACAACAAAAAAACTAGTCATTTTCAGGACATTTGTGCCTATGGACACTTTTGATCAGTGAGTCAAGAACTATAACATACTAAAATTTCAGCCAATTTCACCGAAGGCCAAAATCCTATGATTTTGTGCGGGGTCCTTTGATTCGCCGGAGCGGTCGTTCAAACCTTCAAAAACTTTTAACTCGAAAACAAAACCGCATGTTTATAAACACCGCAAAACATATTTTTTTACTTCAAAAAATTAACAAAAAAATTGGCATAAAAAACTCGATAAATACTTCTGAGGTTCCCCTTATCAGTATACATGTGTTAAATTAATGTGAAAAGATTATACGATGAATAAAATAGTGAGTCATTCTTTACACCTACACTGGGTACTATTATTAATTTTTAATACTGTAATGAACAAATTTTCAATATTTTAAATATTTATTTTTCAATATTTCACAAGTTTATATAATATACATCCGCTGTAGTTAAAAAAATAAAGAAACTAAACTGTTTATGTTTTTTGGGAATTATTAAATATATATATATAACATTTAAATGTTTCAGAAAAGATATGAATACATAACTAATATATTTCTTTATTTACAATTTCATAAATTTTTTTATAAGTAGATGGTATGTATCTCTTGAAACAAACACTAAAAACCGTATAATACATTAAATGTTACACAAATATAATAACACAGTAATGTTATTATATATAAAGGTAATTTCAAAATACCATTTGTGTACATGCAGTATATGCAATACTGTAATGAATAGTGTATGATACACTAGGAATGTAACGTAATGTATGAAAAAACATATATTATATGCTGGTTGTCGTCAAACAGTAATACATGAAATCAATTGCTGACAAAGTTGACTATATTGCAATTGGTCCCCACTAATCCTACGCATTTTTATTCCTTTCGTTTCTCTTTCTTCTGATTCATATACCCTAAGTTCAATTTGTACACCACCTGGATATTCTAAACTAAGTCCACTACCTTTCACTTCTTCTCTTGAAAATATAAAACCTTTTGGTGGCGCTCTTGCATCTATTATTTGTTTAACACGACCTAATATAGTTTCGGAATTTAATCTGCTTGACTCATCAGATAAAGGAACTTCGACTTCGGTAGGTATCGTATTGTGTGGTCTACCGATACCGCGTGTTATACTAGGTCTCAAAGGATCGCACGGTTCTGAAATAATAAAACTCGGAAGAGTGTTGTAATGAGGTAATGTATCTTCGAGTGAATCCGGCGATGGAGACGGAGAAGGCGAGCAACTTATTAACGTCACTTGTCCTCCAAGAACATCTGTCACTGAAATTTGCGGTGGTACCTATAAACAAATATTAAAATTAAAAATTAAACGATTTGAATAAGAATATACGAAATTACAATATATTATAAACTTATACGTTATTATTATTTTTCTAAGAAAAGATTTGTTAATATTTAGTGATAATTATTATCAACATAAAAAAAGAAATGTTGATACTTCATTAAATTAAATTAAATTTAATAAAATATTAAAACTTTTTAATATTTAGACAATAAAAAATTAAAACTTCTTAATATTTAAACAATAAAAAATATTTGAATTAAAACTTTTACAATAAAATTGTATTTAAACATAATATTCAAATAAAATTTTAAAATTTTACACAAATAAAATATTATATTATTCTTTCTATCATTAATTTTACAGTAAATCAACAATTTCTTATGAGATATTATTATATGATATACGGTAATCAAATTTAAATTCAATTAAATCATGATGGTAAGTCAGTGATTACAGTGAGGGACTCGAATTAAATCTTGTTACTGTATATTTAAAGTAAAAAAAATTCTGAAAAAAAGAATAGAACAATAAAAACGAATAAACAAAATCGGGTGGAGTTCCGAAAGGGTGAACCATTCGATTTTATTGTCGATTGGTATACTGCTGTATTTTGGTGTGCTGATTATTGATGATGACAAATATGATCATGAAAATTACCAACAAGAACATTTTTACGGTCATTTACCGCGCAATCTGGCTAAGCGTCACTACTCCAGTAGTATGCTTGCCATTAAGGCCCGTCTACAATACACGGAGTAAAAAGTAAGAGTAAGAAATTGACCAATCACAGTCGAATGTGAGAAGAATAATCGACTGTGATTGGTCAATTTCTTACTCTTACTTCTTACTCCGTGTATTGTAGACGGGCCTTTATGTACTGTCGAGTAGTAAGGACGCTTAAAGGCGCACGACTTCCACTCCACCTCTCTCCCTGCTTAGGGGCGCACGACTTCCACGTGAAGCGACTCCCACCCCATTTTCCTTCCTACTTAGAGGCACACGACTTCCACGCGAAGCGACTTTCATCCCATCTCCCCCCTGCTTAAAGACACATGACTTCCACACGAAGCGACTCCTACCCCATCTCCCCATCTCCCCCCCCCCCCC